ATAAAACTTCAATATATCAGGCAGTACCTCTTCTACTTGGCGCAGATTGGACTGGCGATGTCACCGTGCTCGAATAATCAGCTGCTGCCAAGCTGCAAGAAAGTGCTGGGTTGCTCTTCAATCGCCAGAGTTGAACTTTGCAATACGTGTTTGCGAGACAGACGGTTGCTAGAGCCCTGACATAACATCCAAGACTTAGTTGCCGATTGGTGTCTCATTTGTTAGTTATCTCTTCTTTCTCAGGTTCTTGGCGTATGAGAAGAGCCCGTTTCCCGTCTACTTTGCACGTGGCCTAAATGTGTCCTTATCCACGGATGACCCATTGATGTTTCATCAAACCAAGGAGCTCTCAGTGCTTGAGAAGGGTCAACAGAGACAGAAAGCCACCCACCCTCATGGACATGCACATTTGTATATTCATGCAAATTCATAGAACAACATGCAATTCCAGACTGTCCATACTTTGGTACTTGAAGGAGCCCTTGATGGAGGAGATACTTGTCCGCAGGAACTTTGTTTAAGCGCATTAACGGGCGGGGAAATATGACTATGAAGGTCTCGGGCATACTGATGAATTTCTTAATGTCGCATTTCTTTGAAGGTTGACATGTGCAGTGCTCAAACCAGTGTTGCTTTTGGATGACCCAGGTACAGCATCGCCAAGCAGATTTGGCACTTTACCTCCGTTGACCTTTGCGAAATTGCACGGAATTCTGTGCTGCAAAGCGGCTTTCCTGATGAGGTCAAGGCATGAGGGTGGGACACATCTTCATCTCGACAAGATGGCCAGACCATGTAAGACCTTGTGCAGATTCTCAGAGAGGGTTGCTTGACACTCTTGCTGGTTAGGCCTCTTGGTTTGGATCAGCTGACTTCATGGGGGAGAACAAGCCGCAGTCAACCAACGTGCCAAATTTGAGGCAGGAATTGCATATGCACAGCTGGGGTCAGGGCCAAGGTGGGTGACCGAGTCTGCCTGAGGATCGCCTACAGAAGACGCGTGTTCAATGAGGAGATGCACTTGCTCTGGGGAAATGTGCCTGGACATTTGTGACCTTCTGTCAAAGTTTGTCAAAGACACACGATAGGATAGGCATGTACACACACAAGCCTGCGGAACAACAGCGAAACACGCCACCTATACAACGAATCTAATGGCGGCCCCTTCCCAGGCTGATGAGACTGAAGATGTTGGAGCTATGTGCAATTTGCTTCTGCTCTCACCTTCAAAGCGGCTGCAAAAGTCCCTGAGCCAAGAGACAGCGCTGAGAGTTCTTGCTGTGTTGCGACGCAGAAACGCGGCAGGTCAGAGTGTTCTTGAAAAGATGTGCTATAAACAGCTTTGGCTGGGACATGAGGTGCACATTGTCGGACTTTGGAATCGACATGGAGCCGAAAGACCCATGCCAGCAAAGTCGCATTTCAACAAGTGGAAACTCGACGGACTACTGCAGCATGCATTGCAGAAGGCAAAGCTAGCAGCTAGAAGTTATGATAGTTGGCAGGGTGGACAATCTGACATGGCTTTTTTGGCACCATCATTTCAGAAATTACTAGGAACAAGAAGCTAGTAGGAACAAGTGCATCGCTACTAGTAACAAGTGCCTTACTACTAGGAACAATAAGCTACTAGGAACGCTTTAGCACCACGGAATAGTTGCCCCTGTGCACTGATTTGGACCCAGATGCGACCTTATGCCGCATCGTTGCCAGCAGCTGGAGAGGAATCAGCCCCTCGGACTGAAGAGCATTCAAGAGCTCACTGTGCGAAAGTTACAGCCACATTTCTTGCTTTCTCGAAAACGTGTTCAGAGAATCACAACATATTTTTTTTCTAGTCCTTCTCCCCGGGCCCACTGTTCTCTACTCCATTATGTCGCACTATATCAACATACCTGTGCACGTTGTGGTATTTGTCCACCACTATATACCTGCTTGCATCACAGACCCTAGAGGTCCCAGTAGACTGGGCTTAAGTAGCAACACCTTGGAGGCAAAGCTTGGGACGATCTCCCCAACTCGGAACCCGAATCACTCTCTCCGATAGCATGTAGCTACTCTACTCAGGAAGGACGTTTTTCATAGCACTCCCCAAATAACAGAAAAGGACAGCAAGTAGGGTCAAAAAAATTATCCCTTTAACAAGACCCCCTGTGGGGCCCAAAACACCGTCTTACTTTTCATTTCCTGAGTGCGAGTTTTCCAGGAACTGGCCATCCTAGATGCCTCGGAACAGGGTCCACTTGCAGATCTCGGTGAGCAAGTTGCGACTTGATCTGAATTAAACACAAAAGAACAAGAAGACACATATGGACATAATGTTAGAGATGCACTGATGCAATGCTGTTGGCAGTTGTATAAGCTGGGCATGGAAGTGTATGACAGCCGTATGGATTTGAGAGACTTCTAGATTTGAATTTCGGTTGTTAGCACATGCCGACGTACGAAGTGTGTTGATAATTAATCGTTTTCTAGCCCCCAACCACCGCGCAATATTGTAGTTATTTATGTATATGTCTGTAACTCACCTTGGTCCAGGAAAGAGACATGGAGCCAACATGTACCAGATAATCAAATCGTTCCAGGAATGATACTATCGAGTCTATGTTGGGCCCAGGGTTCTATCAATGCATGTGTGCCTTCAAGTCATTGGTTACTGAGGGCCAAGGCAAGGTTTTTGGTTACATACCCAGCTGACAAACTTGCAAGTGAACTAACTAGGGTGACAACAGTGTAGGTAGGTGCTGAAGAAACCAAAGCATTGGCCACTGGCCTGCAAAGGAAAACATAAGGACGCTGTTCGGATTGGAAATGGAGTTCTGTGGTCAATACCAGGATTTAACTATATATTACAGTATTCATGATGTATTGGAGGGGTGTATCAACCTCAGGTCTAAGGACGTTCGAAAAACGTTGGCCAGGATTTTAGAAGTGAAGAATCTTGGTACAAAAAGAATAACCAACCTTGGAACACAACAAGATCATGACATGACCTCAGCCCGAGGGATCTTTTTTAAATAGACTCCCAATTGTAACCTGTAGTGCGTTATTCAACAAGTATAATTGTCGCGAACCATGCCCAGGACTGGTCTGTGCAGAAGACGCTTGGCATTGGTAAATTCTTGCACTCGCACCTCACTTCTGGCACATCCAAGGCTAACCACTCCCCATGGATCGCAAGCAAACATGAAGAAGCTCGGGTCACAGGTGGTCCCACGGCGGCATTGACAAAACAGCCACGGATACCGCCCCGATACCCGTGAAGATTCTTGGGCAGCTGCTTTGTTTCACCTGTTTCACCAAGGACCAAGCGCTTGGTCATAAAGGCTCCTTTGAAATGAGTCGCAGGTTTCTCGGCCGTGTCAACTGCTCCGATTTTTCATCCAAACTGCGACTGCATCGCGACTGCATTTGAGGGGATCGATGAACGTTCCTCACGAAAACAGCGGCTTGCTGAATGAGAAGGCCCAGGAGCCGCAACATCTGTCACATCCGTGCATAAGGGGTTTCAGGCTTTTCTCAAAAATGTCGCAGCAGGTTAGGTGCTGGACTGGTCACAATTTCTTTTGATGGGCGACCGATTATACCGTTTCCGTGCCCCACTGGCGAGGACGAGTTTCTCCACCGGCTGACAGCTGAAATTATGCACACCAAGCCAGACCGGAGAGAGCTCTTCACTGCGGTAGGCCAGGAGACCGGGCATTGGGGCTGGTTTGAGAGGCCTTTTGTGGCAACATTGTTGAGCGAAATGTCAACCATTTGGTACACCTGTCGCCCGTTGTCGATAGGATCTTCCAGTAAAAGCTTCCAGCAAGAGGGGCATGCTCCGAGCAAGACATGCACAAGGAATGCATATACCAACCTTTTTGGGCCTGCCCCGGCCACACAGACCTCTTAACAGCTGGTGCCCTTTTAACAGCAACAGAAGACCTCGGTGCTCGACATCGGCAGCACGGAAATGTTTCTGAGGTCACTCTGCCTTAGCCAAGAGATGCAAAAAGAGATGCAAAAAGATGATCACACATTTGACGTGGTGACAATATGAGAAACAACACTTCGCCGCTTCGCCAAAGCGCTCACAGGTGAGCGAGACGCTTCTAACCGAACGTCCTTTGCCGGTGTAAGGTGTCAGTAAGGTTGTATTTCTCCCGGGTTGAACACCTGGATTGCGCAAGAAGAAGCGTGAAGTGAACAAAGGACAAGAAAATAGAAACAGAAAAGAACGCTTCTTTAATTTTGTAAAGAACAAGGTTCACTGTAGTGCTTCACTCTCTCCTTCTCATTCGGACTTCACTACCGTACCCTGAGGCATTGCTGCCTTGGTGGGTTGCCTCGGAGGATTGGCGATGGCCAGTACCTTGGGGGTCTCAAGATCGAAGTGACTGGCCAAAGTGCAAATGAAAGGCATATATAAAGTGCGAATGAACGGGAAAGACCAGGGACCTTCCATGCAAGAATGCTCTTGGTGCAATAATGGGCAACATATTGTTTGTATATGTTATATGACTGTACATGCCGAGCCACTCTGTCTTTGGCTGGGGCTTTCTTGTGACAAAACAACACTATTGTGCTGTGTGGCCTGGACATTCTCTGTTCTCAATCATTTGAAGTAAGCGTCGATCATTGCGATGCGGACACTTAAGATTAAAATAGCTTAAGTAGCAAGGTTGAGATTGATTTGTACAGGTTCACTTTGAGGGATTCAGGGAGCGGGGCACTGAGTGGCAAGCCTTCGCGCACTGCCCCGCTTCCTCAGTTCCTCAGATTCTGAAGGATTCGTTTCACAGTGGAGACAGGTAGCTGCCGACAGCAAAATTGTGAGGGGTGCACCTTAGCACGCGCGAGGAGTTGAAGGCCTTTGTCATTTTGCCCTCAAAAGGGAACAACAGGACTTCATGGAAAAAGGAATTCTGCACGGAGCGACAACAGGTCTCACAGGTCTGATGAACATAGATCTTACTGTAGATGATCTTAGACCATTTGAGAAGAGCATTGGTCAGGCAGTCGAAGCCGAGCGTCATAGACAGATGATGGAGGCCAAAATGAGCCGTGAGGTGGAGTAGAGACATGTTCCTGGTAGCTTCTTGCTACTAGTAGTAATGCACTTGTTACTAGTAGCGATGCCCTTGTTACTACTAGGGCCACAGCCTGCCCCAGCCTCACTAGATCTCATCAACCTCCTCATGAACTTATCAGTCTTTTTAAGTCTATTTGTTCTTTTCATGTAGAGACCTTTCAGGAGATCCAACATGGATACACAATGATGGGCTCATGTGAGTATCCAACAGATCTCCACAAACCACATTCAGCCGTGACATTCAGGTCCACCGGCCACCACCCTCCAGAACTTCCCATTCCTAGCTTCAAGCTTGCTCCTAGTAGCGATGCCCTTTGTTCCTAGTAGCTTCTTGTTCCTAGTAGTAAGGCCAGGAGCTACTAGTAGCGTCCTTGCTCCTGGTGCGCGGGAAAGCAGAATGTCTTTTCTCTCCTTCCGCTCCAGGCAGGCTTTCTGGAGAGACTTCTGGGCGCCGAGCGAGAGAGAGATAATTTGCAGGCATGGCGGAAAACGGAGGAAAACGCATCATATACACCGGGGAGAAAGTTGTTGGCGCAACTCCAAAAAAAAATAGCGGGAACATCGGGAACAGCCGCGCCATGTAACTCCTTTTTCTCGCTATTTGGCCGTCATAGATGGCGCAACTGGTCTTTGGATTGCAGAAAATTAAAATTCTGCGGGGTGTCTGTGCGGATACTAGTTTTCCCTATTTTCCGAAAAACGTTTGGGGCCTATAGATGGCCCAATGGCCAAGTTCTGTACATTTGGCTTGCCGGCTGCAATCTGATTTCCTCATATTTCTTCTTGATTTCCTCTTGCCTCTTGAACTTATTCGTTTCCTTTTGATGTTCTTTTGCGGTGGGGCAATAGATGGAGCGGTCCCAATCTCCGCTATTTTCTGCAAAATAGCGCACAAAATCGTGCAGAATCTTCCTGTTTTTTTAGCCACGGGGCGCATAGATGGCGCAACACACCTGAATGCCCCTGATACCTAAACCTGGCGCAATAAAAAAAGTCACCTCATCAATTTTCCCTAAATTGCTATGACATCCTTTCGAGGCCCTGTTGATCCCCGATGAAGGTTTTGTTTGGTCATGCCTTGCCGCCAGGCCCAGATCAACTACGCAGTGTACGATGCTCAAAGGGAGAAAGACCTCATGGAGGTGGGTGCAGTGTTGAACTGTTGAGTGGCCGTTGGACTATTGGGTGTCGCCGTATTTTGTCCGCGACGTGTGAAAGATCAAGTCCAGGCACGCCTGCGTGGAGAACTGGATGATGCACACCACCAACAAGAAGTCCAGCAGGTCTGCGGGTCGATGTTGTAGGCATGCACACTCCAAGGCCTAAGGAATTCTTAGTAATTTACATTCCATGTTCCATGAGCTCTTGTGAATTGCAAGGCCGGTCAGTCTTAACACAGAAGAATTGCAGGCAGGCTGTTTTGAACCTAGGCCAAGACCTTCGCCATCGAACAGGATGCTCAACGGATGCGGGAAATTGATCAGGTTTGGTGCCCATGACGGAGGACATGTTTCAAACCAGCACAAGAACTCATACCCATTGGCCGTCGTTCATGTACTGTATTATTTGCATGATGTTGCCGTTTCTTGGACAGAGCCATTCGCATGTGTTCAGAGGCAAAGCTTTCTGCAGTGCTTCATGACGAGCTGAGACTGAGAGATGTCCGCGAGGCACTGTGAGAGTTTTGTGGATACCTTGTTTTTGCTGTTTAGAGAGGGATTTCTAGTTTTGTGGACTCAAGCCTACTGAAACCAGAGAGTAACGTGTTGGCGATGCCCAAAGGCAAAGATGGTCGAGGATGTCCGAAGGCCTTTACCGTATGCAATTGAAAGTACAGTCCTGGCTTTAGTTGGCATTGGGTGGACCTTGCTCCGGGGCATTCGAAGTAGTACTCGTAGCTAGATGGGTGCTGTGCTCTGCGTGACTGAGCAGTTGTTGGCAAGTGCCTTGCCAACCCAAAACTTCATGGGCCACGCATTCCACACATTCGCAAAAACTCGGCTTTTTAAGCACTGCCCCTTTCAGGCAGCAGGCGGCTGCTCAGCAGAGCAATGCAGCGTGGAGGGCTCAGGTTCTCAGGGCCACGGGGCCACACGGGCCACATGTGGCACGCTTGGCCAATTTGATAAATGCAAGAGTGGCTTTCTGCCGGCATGTGCAGGCAAACCCAAACTTGTATCACTCTATTGACTCTATCTCTCACTTTCACGTTGTTAGCATACTGAGAGGCTGGGAGATCAGCTCCGGCATGAACGCGCAGAACGGGAGGAGGCGGCGACGTGTATGTATGTTTCCAATATATAGACATTTATATAATTGAAGCAAGACGGGATGGTTACGGTAACCGTAGTGATAGTGATAGTAGTGCGCCTTGACAACAGACAGGAAGAAGAAGAAGAAGAAGAAGAAGAAGAAGAAGAAGAAGAAGAAGAACCAGAAGCAGAAGCAGAAGCAGAAGCAGGTGACATGGGGTGAGTGCAACTGCTCGGAGGTTGTTTGATGATGAAAGAATCACATGTTTTAGAGCCACACGATGAGAGTCTTTTACAGAAAATGCTTGATTCTGCGCTGTGTGTTGCCATTGTCTTCCAGGAAAAACGCCGCTTTGCAGTCTTGCAGCAACAGCTTGATGCTGCTAAGGCTCCCGTACTCTCAAGGGCGTTTCGGGTGCAGCCATGCGCTAGCGGCAAACAAACACATGCAATTATGTGTGACCTCCTGACAACTGGTGGTATGCAGATGGCATAATATCAGCGCAGTCATAGATGACGTTGTTTCGGAAAACAAGGTTTGCCACATTTATATATAGTCTCTCTTGACACAAACATTGTGACATAGGCTGCCTTGTGATTTTTGTCGTTGCCCAGCCGCAGGCTGAGCTGGTGAAGGAGCATGCCAGAGCTTTTGACCTGAAGGCAGCATGCCTTGAACTTTTAGTATTTTTTATCCAAAGATCAATCAAACTTCATCGAACCATTCCTGGTGGTTGCAGGCTGCACTTGACAACCTGAAGACCGTGCAGGCGATAAAAGGGCCCTTTTGCTGGCCCTTGTGAGTGCATAGCAGTGAAGATACCTCAATAAACTAACATTTGCAAGGGAAAACAATCATTTTGCCAAAGAATCGAGCAATCTCCATCTTGCATTGCACTATACAGTGCAGAAAAACACATTGTGCAGGTTGAGAATACGAACCATTTCTTCTGGGATGGCTGAGCTTCACACCAGCTCCCCCATACGCGAGTAGTTCTTGTTGGGCGTGGAGGGTTGTTCGAGCAGTCTTCCGACCACGGCTTTCCTTGCATGATGCCAGGAGTTGCGAGATGCGGAAGAGAAGAGCCGGATGGAAGCGGAGGCAGAAAGTCAGATCAGGCAATCCAAAGAAAGACGTTGGAATCAACCGCTGAAATTTGTCATGAAACGGTTCCCCTCTTTGTCAAACAAGGAGCCTTCCATATCTTCCAGCAGGTCAGCAACCAAACAGTTGAGCGTTCGATCGATTCAATCTGCGACAAGTAACTTTAGGCTTGAAAACAGGTACTTTGGCAGATGTTTTATAGTTTTCCCCAACCGTGAAGCTTGTCTTCAGCCATCGTAAAGACATGTAAAGACTCAATAGAGACTTCAGAGCAGGTCAGGTTCCGGAGCAGGTTCCGGAGCAAGTCCTTCCAGAGGTAGTTCCGGAGAAATTTCTGGAGCAGGTTCCGGAGGTCCTGTAGCAAGTTCGGGAGCAGGTTCCGGAGCAGGTTCTAAAGGAAGTTCCAGACGAGAGCAGGTTCCTGAGCAAGTCCTGGAGCAGGTTCCTGAATTGTCTGGAGCAGGCTCCGGAGAAAGTTCTGGAGCAGGCTCCGGGAGAAAGTTCTGGAGCAGGCTCGGGAGCAAGATTGGGGAGCTCCAGAGCCGGCTTGGGAGTGGGCTCCATGGTTCTTGTTAGTTGCAGCGCTTTCATGCTTGCATGGCACCTTGAAAAGGGCCACATTGTTCAATACATGCGGCAAAGACTTGCGATGTCAGCATTGCCTCCCAGGCAAAGCCCAACTTGGCTGATTTTGTTTTGTACAAAGTGGGGAATGATGCTGAATGCCTATCTTTGGCAGCCGAGCGCGTGTAGTTTGTTATCCTCTTCCTTTCTTTTCAATGATAGGTGGCGACCAAAGAGTGCGCCCTGTGTTCATGCAACGCTCTCACATCTCAACAATGTTGGATGTTTTTGACCCCTCAGGTCTGCAAAAACATCCACTTTCTTGAAGACCTGGTGTAGGTGTAGATGGTTCTCCGCATCTGAAATGAAGGGTACGTCATGGTGTGCAGGAAAGCCGGCAAGCCTTGCTGCAACATGTGCAAGAGGCGCGGACCAAAGGACACTGAAGAGGAGGCATCTGCTGGCAACCAGCACGGATCACGACCTATAACTATAACGCAGGCGTGTTGTGATTGAGAAATACATACAAGAGATAACACCTTGGACGATTGGTTTGGATCATGAATGGACATGATCACACAGAAAATGCAGCGCTCGCTTCCGGAATTGCTTGATGTTTTGAGACCAAGTCTTGTTTTGCCACAATTTGCGCTGGCGGATAATTTTGGCTCCAATCCCAAGATAAGATTTAAGTCGAGGATCCCCACTATGACGGAGTTGGCAGAGCGCAGACCCATCGCAGCCCATGCTCCAGAGGACTGCTCCCAAACTGTCGACATTAATGATCACATAGCTCTACTCCAGATGGTTCAGCTAAAATTATGTGTAATGTCAACTTGCTATGAAGCGCAGCCAATGGTGCTGGGGTTGTAGCAGGCACAGCCTTTGGCAAGAGAGTTGCCAAAATTAAAATTGTCCTTTACATTCAAACCATGCCTTGACGTTGTCAACCGGATCACATGATGCACCGACATTTAGGAGCTCGCAGCCATCACTGATGTTGCAATTCGCAATGGTTTTGTTCGCAAAGTCTTCAGCATCCTGGGCTTTCAGCTTTTGTTGACAACAGCGATTGCAGCAGGGTTGCTCGGCAACATACCAACAATTCCGCTTGTATTTCTTCCTTCTATCTGGCACAAGCACAGCCAGCGTAGACGTGATACACTTTTTTTGCCCTATCAAGAAAGGGACAATTTGTTGAACAATGCACAACAAGAATAGAGCGAGCAGATCAAAAGTATCCGAGGGTGGTGAACTACGGCGATGCTCTCATAAAGAAAAATCCATCGCTCGTCGTGTGATGGCCTCAGCTACTGCAACAACATCAACATGATCTATGGAAATCCACGGACAAAAATCCTTGCGCAGTCTGGTCAACAAGGTTCTTGCTGACCTTGTCCGCGGCGGTCACGGTGGGTATGTCATGCATTATGTTTTGTTGCCAGGGCCTTAGACCACCCGCACACGCCCACCCTGCTAAGGACAGGGATGACAAAGGTAGGAAGATGTAGGAAGAATGAACCACAAGTGTGCAAGCAGCAAGCAATGTTGAATCCGAAAAGTGCAATCTCTCTTCCTTTTCACATTGATGTTTCTTCTGCGCCTCCAGCAGCATCAAATGTTTCGGAGAACATTTGCATAGTCCGAATCTGCCCTCACACCTACAGCTTGTTTGGCTTCGCTGCCCTTCAACACTCGTCCTGTATTTAAACATCCATCCGAATGCCTGGGATTCAATTCAAAGTACGGCCTCACCATCCCCTGTTTTGGTCGCCCATTGAGGTAGTGATATGATGAGGAAAAGCCCAACGAACTACATCATTCTTGTCGTCTTCACAGTGGCAGAAGCTTGCCTAGCTCATTTGGTGCTAACTTCTAACTTTGCTTCACTTTCGCTGGGTCCACAGATATGCAAGATCTACACAGCATTCCGATCTATGGGACTCTGTGGAGAATTTTATGAGGAAGGACTCTTCTCAAAACGGACCGAAGGACTTGAACGACTCGGCCTCGGACCTGCGGTTCGTCTGGATTGAAAAGGTGCTTCAGACGTGCCTAAGGAAGCTTTCTTGGTGGGATTTATTGCCGTACAATACACTGCCAGAGCCTAAACATTCTGGACATCTCTGTGTGCCAAAGTTAAAGAGTAGAACTCTTCATGCGTTTTACATGCTGGCACACATCATTTGGTGGATCCAGTTTTCACGATCCAAGGCACAGTCCGTACTGGTCACCTTTGCCATTACAGCAGGGATCGTGCTTATGCTGACCCTCTTTGCGTGTCAGACAAAGTATGATTTTACAGGCGTTGCCGTGACATGACCGGCCGCAGGTGACTGGTTTCTCTTCGCATTGGTCAGTATGGCTTGCGGTTGCCATTTCGCAAGGAAGATTTCTCTTCCATTCTCTTCCTAATATAGTCTGGCAGGCTTTCTCCCCTATTTCTTCATGGCGAGCCTTTGCCTTTTGGGACACTCGGCAGCACTTGACAAGGTACTAGGCAAACATAGTCAAACGCCCTCAGAATCATCATAGTATCATAACATAACTGTAACAATAATCGAATCTTCTCCAAACTGATCATTGACTTCAGGCCTTGGCTTTGCGCTGAGTCTAGCATCATGGCTAGGTGCCAGCCAAAACGGTGCCTTCAGGCAGCTTCTAGGAAGAAGATGTTCAGTGCTGCTGGGAAAGTGACACAGTTTGCAGACGTGACTCGAATCTAACTTTTTGGTGTGGCCGCGCAGAACGATGTACTTGGTCTATGCAGCCTTTGGAGCACTTCTGTTTTCAGGCAGCTCCTCAATGTGTGTTTGCGTGTGGACGTGCTTGTAAGATTTAGCTCAGGAGGTCTGGCCTATTGCTAGCTCTTGCTTTCTCCAGGATACATCATCCTGGACACACAGATGATCATTGGAGGAAAACATGCAAAATTTAGATTTTGCATCGACGACTACTGCTTTGACCCGGCCTGAGCAATACTGAGCTTGTGCAAGTGAGATAATGCTTGAGTGAAACTTGATTTGACAAGGTTTAGGTTCAGCATCTGAAGCAGGTTGCTTTTAGCTTTGGTGTGAGATGCTGACCTGCTTGAGCACAAACACGAGGCGGCAATCCACATTTATCTTGATATTGTGAACCTCTTCATCTTCCTCTTGCAGCTCTTTGGTGAGCGTAGGCGGTGATAGAGACGAATGCTGAGTGCCACATAGATGGATGTGCCATGACCACGTCATACCATGCCGAACACTGGATCAGCACAAGCGTACAGGTGTGCCAGAAAGGAGGGCGATCGTGCTTTAACTCTTGATTCGGTTGTATTGCTGAGCAAACAAGGCACCAACCCTATCTGAAGCGATCTCGCATTTGGGTCTCTTGAAGCTATCCTTTCATGAGTTTTCATGATGAGGGTCTGGTCATGTCTAGCAGCTACTGGTAGCCCTTTGCATTTTATCGCCCTTTGCAACTTGTGAAGCTTGGCTCAAAACCATAGACGAGAAGTCTCGACTGGTGCAGAAAGATGTCGAACAACATGAGGCTCCACATTGATACATTGTACCCCTTTCGCCCATGACTTGATCAACACACATACAAGCCTACGCACAGGCTGTTGCTGAACCCTGTTGCACTGATGATGCATACATTCAGTCAAATTGCCGTTCATCTCTTGACAGGAACAACTATGATCCCGTCTCGACTGACAACTGTGCGGGAGATGCCTCTTGGCAGTGTTGGTGTTCAGCCGTGAACTGAATAATTTGGAGAAGAAAGCGTTTGGAAAGGAAGCACGAAGCGTGTTATGTCAGCTCACTATTTTCAATGCCTCGCCATGACTCGCCATGCCCAAATTTCGATCAACCTTCTGGTGAGTCACCAAACTTGAAGTGCTTCTGAATGACAAATAGACTTGAGACCCATCATGAAAAAGCACGAGAAACGCGCTTGCTGTTTCCTTCTGATAATGGGCCCCACGAGATGTTTCATGATGTTTCCATGTTTTAAGCTTGAGGAGTTGGCGGGCATTGCGGACATCTCTGTGCGCAATGGCTTTGTTCGGAAGGCCAGAGTTTTTCTTGTTTTCTGTGGGATATGACAACCGCGGCAATGGGTATGCTGCCGATAAGGCGAACCAAACCGTGGATTCTCAATATGATTCAGCAATCGCTATGCTTGCACTTTGGAGGTTTTCTCCATTCTGGCAGTACAGCTGGTTGTCACGACCGTGATTGCGGGGGTGAACCTTGGATTGCATGACTTGAGAGTAGGTGTACCTGAACATAAAAAAGGAAAGTGAAAGCCTTGTTAGATCTTTTAAGCCTTGAAAGCCATATCTTGAGCAACGAGTCTGGGAAGGAAGACAGTTGTTCCTTCCGTTCTGCAATTTATGACATTCAGCGTTCGTTCATCCATTCACCGTTCTGCTTCTCGACATGGCAATGTTTCTTGAAACTTGGAAGTGTCCCACAAGGCTTTCGCAGGCGACGATTGATTTGAAAAGAACAAATCCAGGTTTCCTGTCGCCCCTTGCCTTTGTGGATTTCTGACTTGTGCAGCTCTTTTTAACAACATGTTTAGCCTTATTGTGCTGAGAGGTTGCACATGATGCAGTTGTTGAGTGAATCAGCTTTTGGCGAAGACGTGCCGACAGGATGATGTTCGTTGTAAGGTTTTTGATGATATGCTCTGTTGCCGCCTCCATCGCAACCATGTGCGTTTTCATGTGCTGCTTAAGTCTCAGTGGTTTCGGTTTGAAAGAGTGCGGATTGGGCAAGTTCATCAAATGTTGATCAACTTCATGGAACCTCACAGACCTAGGTCCTCATACGATGCGCAAGTATCCTGAGAACTACGTCTTGCTAGGAGTCTTTACAGTGGCAGATACCTGGCACCAAGTCTTGGCAAGGCTTTTCCACCGGCCTTTTGTTGCTGTTTTGGCCGTTTGGTTGGCTGACCAAGGAGTCGGTCCTGGTTGGGGTGACTTGTTCGGCCTACACGGTGCCTCGGCCTCTGAGTTGAACATTTTCACAGAAACTGTTGCACTTTCACCCGCAGTGCTAGCTCTCATCCTGATGTCCTACCACCCCAGCACCGCCAGACCTTTTGTCGGAGTTTCCGTCAGTTTCCTGTCACACTACACTACACTTTCAGGTCGTGTTCTTTGGAAGAAACAACACATTTCCATGTTATTGACGGCTGTGTTCACACCTCATTCACCTGATTCCGCTAACAGTTATCCAATTGGAAAAGGATGGCAAAAGGAGAGTTGGAGGTCGGAGACGGCAGTGGCGTCATTTCACACACAAACATCCCTCCGGATCGGAAACAGAACGTGTGGTTGTGTACATTTTTTAACATGAGAAAGTCTGCCAAACCACAAAAACGCGGTAAAAACCACATGTCTTAAGTCTCGAGTTGTCATCGATGC